CCATCCTGGCCCTTGCCCTTGGCCTTGGCCTGGGCCGCAGCCTCAGCGGCCGCGAACTTGGCCGCCGAGATCTTGGCCGCCCCGGCGCGCACGGCCTCCTTCTCGGCGGTGGCCGAGGCGGGGTCGGCTGCAGACGGGGCCTCCGCCGCCGCTGGCGGCGCTGGGCCACCTGCACGGCCGCCCGCTCCGCCGTCGCCACCTGCCGTCGCGCCAGTGCCGCATGCCTCGGCCGCCTCAGACACGCCGTCGCCCTCGTCGTCGCCCTCCTCAGAGTTGTCGACCCTCCTCCTCTTGGCCGCCAACCTCTTGGCGATCTCAGCCTTTGACTTCGCAGCCTTCGCGAGCCAAGACTGCACCTCAACGTTCTGTGCCTGGAAACCCTCCTGCATTTGCAACAAGGTTGCGTGAATCTGCTTGAGCTCCTGCCTCTCCGTCTCCTCACACTCCACATTGTCCAAATCATCGAACAGGCTGGAATCCCGCGAGACGGTGAAGGCTTCTGGTGCCTTGGCCTCTGGAGCAGTTTGCGGCCGCTGCTCTCCGCCAAGGCCCTCCGCACGTGCGAGTACCTCGGCTGCCCGCGTCTTGGCGACTGCGGATGCCGCCAGAGCCTCCGCAGCCGCCTCCTCCTTACTCTCTGCCGTGGCCAAGGACGTGCGAAGACGACACACGTTGGCCACGCACTGGTCGTGCTTGTGGTTGCAGTCCCTCCGGTGGCCCTCCGCCCTCTTGTAGCTGTCGGCGGCAGAGGGGGGCGGCTCAGATACCGTAGGACCCTTCTTCAGCAGCTCAATCCGATTCTTCAACACCGTCTTGAGCTCCTGGTCATTGGTGCTCTTCATTGCCTCCATGAGGTGGTCGATCGTGGAGCTGGCCTTGGACCACGGGCCCTTCTGAGAGCTGCACTGGTCGGACTCCTGCTCCTCGAAGTCCCACACCTCCGCCTCGTCGGCAAACGAGACCTTCCCTGGTGATTGCGATCTGGACCTGAGGCCCCCCTTCTTCTTCTTGGGGGTGAACAAGGTAACCTCTCGCTTACACTTGGTGCATATGCCCTGCCCGCGGGTGATCACATCATTCCATTCACACTTCCCGCACTGGCAGCGGCTCCAGAGCCGCGCACTACGATCAACGAACGCCATGGCAGGGAACGAGCTTGGACTGGCACTCTTGCTTTTGTCACAGATGACTGGCCTCCGCAAAGGGCTCTGCTCTGTGTGCCTCAAGCGCTCCGAGCAAGCACAAGAGTCGGCACAAACAAAATGCTTGGGCCTGGGTGGCTTGAGGGAGGGGGAGGAGGAGGAGGAGGAGGAGGAGGAGGAGGAGGAGGAGGAGGAGGGAGGAGGAGGGAGGGAGGAGGAGGAGGAGGAGGAGGAGGAGGAGGAGGAGGAGGAGGAGGAAGAGAGAGAGAGAGAGGGGAGGGAGGTGGACGCGAGGGAGGAGTCCGTCCTCCCTCTCCTAGATCCCCGTCTCGGGGGCGACCAAGAGGTAGGCGATGAACAGGCGAGTTCGCAAATCATGGCCCGAGGCACGTGCGCGGCCCAGGCGGGAGCCAGGGTACGATAGGCCATGACTTCCAGGGAGATATCATGCCCCCGCTATGATATCAACGCCCCCTACTCATCACCCTCCTCTTGGACGCCCCCTGGCTGTCGCACAACCAACCAAGTGAGCACGTAAGGGGGATCGTTGTGCCTCAGACTTCCTCGCCGCTTAGGACCCTGGATCTTGAAACTTCCAACGGTAGGAAGGATATAGACAACTGGCTGACCCCATGGGGCACTCGCCTTAGCGTGGCGCGCATGTCCTTTCAAAACTTGGAATTGCCACCAGGGTGGATGGGGGGGGGTCATTTTCAAAATGGGGTTATAGTCCCAACGCCCCGCTCAGTCGTGTGTGCTAAAAGCTTGCAGCGATGAAACTTGTGGAGAGAGGTCATGTAACAAATGGGGCCCTCGCCATAGCGGCACACACTCGTCTTACACGTCCGCAGCAGTCACTAGGGCTAAGTCGGCCCTGTCCCCCTACAGGGGGATTTTCAAGGAAAAAATAAAAATAGTCAAACAATACCCACAGATGCCCAAATCTACTCAAAACATAGTCCCCATACTATTTGTTGACTATTTTTGAATATCCTCCCTGTAGAGGGACAGGCCCGACTTAACACTAGGGTGCTGGACGCGCCCACCTATAAGTGGGCATCTCGCCCGAGCGCCGCGCACGCGCACACGCGTCCCAAACGCGCTGAATAGCTGCAAGGATGGAGGTTCGCAACAGTTTGCAACACTCACCAGGGGGTGGATGGCGGTTCCTATTCAGAATGGGGTTCTCGTCTCAGCGGCGCGCGTTCGTCTGAGCTACATGCAGCAGCTACGGGGGTGGAGGGCGGTTTATGTTGGACACGGGGCTCTCGCTTGAGACGTTCTCGAAGTGAACAGCCACGTTTGCAAACACGTTCAACACTTACAGGGAATGGCGGGCGGTGCCTGTTCAAACAGGC